CCTAGAGCCCAGAACACCTGTTTGTGTGCAGCCCCTGCTGGAGACTTAGCAGAACTCTGTGACATAGAACATTTATTCAACAAATTTTGTGAAGAGATGTACTAGATGTTGGGTACTGGGAAGCAAAGACAGAGTCCTATTCTTTTTTTTTTTTATTTTATCCTCACCCGAGGACATTTTTCCATTTTTTGTTCAGATAGAGCAGGAGGGAGAGAGAGGAAGAGAGAGAGAGAGAAACATCGATGTGAAGGGACACATCGAGTGGCTGCCACCCTCACGACCAACCAGGGCCGGGGACAAACTGCAACTGACGTACGTGCCCTTAGCGGGAACCAAACCTGGGTCTCTCTGTACCGCAGGCCGATGCTCCAACCGCTGAGCCAAACCGGCCAGGGCGACAGAGTCCTATTCTTGAAAGTCTCACAGTCAAGAGTAGTCAGGTTCCCTAATTAGATCAAGTGTCAACTACAAATGTAATACATGATTATTGATATAATATACTTTCATTCATTCAGTAAATAACTATTAAATGCTTACTAGGGGGTAGATACTGGGCTAGGCACTGGAAATATAATGGTAAACATTCCCTGCTTTCTTGGAGCTTATATTCTAGTGAAAATTGTGTTAATTATAACATCAGCTTTAAGAACAGCCAATTAATATTGGCTTAGGCAACAGAAACATATTATCTTGCATAACCGTAAAAGTACAGAGGTAGGATAGGTCCAGGGCTGGTTGGTTCAACCACACAAGACATTAAAAAGACTCAAGTTGTTTTTCATCTCTTTGCTCTGCCCTCCTGGTTGTGCTAACTTTTTTCTCAGGCTGTTCTCTTTCAAGTTTTGAGTTGGTTGCTACAATTCCAGGTGTCACTTTCAGATGTGTCAATGTACAGACAGAGAAAATGATCATTCCTTCACGTGACTTTCTTAAGACCAAGAAACCTTTCCCAGAATACCCCAGCAGACTTTTCCTCTCAGGTTTCATTGACCAGAATTGGGCTTTGGGGCTGATCCTAAACCAATCACTGCAAATGGAATGGAAAATTGTTGATGAGACTAAGCAGGGGCTTCCTCTGGGGCTTCTGAGTCTCCTGAAGGAGGGTGGATTCCTGAACAAAATTGGAGTTCTGTTAACAAGGAAGAGTGGGGCAATGGATATTAAATAGTTAACTGCCAGTATCTGTTATAGGGAAGGAAAATTAATAAATAAAAACACATATTGTGAAGGAACTACATAGAAGTTAGCTGTTGCTGCATAGTAAAACATCTCAAATTTATTTATTTATTCATTTTTAAATCTTCACCCGAGGATGTTTTTCCATTTATTTTCAGATAGAGTGGGAGGGAGAGAGAGGGAGAGAAAGGGAGAGAGAGAGAGAAACATCAACATGAGAGAGACACATCCACTGGTTGCCCCCGGCAACTGCAATGAAGGTATGTGCCCTTGGCTGGAATTGAACCAGGATTTATTGGTCCACAGGCCGACGCTCTAACCATTGAGCCAAACGGGCTAGGGCTCAAATTTGTTTAGATCATTTTGCAATAAGTTTTGAAAATGATAAGTGTTAATTCTTGGAGTTTGCCCCTCCTCCCCCACCCACTCCGCAAGATTGTTTTGGCCTTGGTCTCTTGGAATTCCTTATAAATTTTTTTTTATTCCTCACCCGAGGACATTTTTCCTTTTTTTTTTTCAGATTGAGTGGGAGGGAGAGAGAGAGAAACATTGACATGAAAGGGACACATCGAGTGGTTGCCACCCACACAACCAACCAGGGCCGGGGACAAACTGCAACCGAGGTACGTGCCCTTAGCGAGAACCGAACCTGGGTCCCTCTGGTCCATGGGCTGATGCTCTAACTGCAGAGCCAAACCGGCCAGGGCTAGATCTTTAATTTCTTATAACATTTTATAGTTTTCTTAGTATATTTTATACTTTAAAAACATTTATTCCTATGAAATGGGGTAGTCCCAGAGACGTGGAAGTGGGGTAAAGACTGACAATCCCTAGAAGAGGGGGTGGTGGAGGAGAGATAAACCACAGAACTTACATGCATGTATGCATGAACAATGGACATGGACAACAAAGCTAGGGACAGGGTGGGGAGGGAGAGGGAGGGTGGAATCAGTGGGGAAAAAGGAGAAACATCCGTATCAAAAAAAAATAAATTAATAAAAAAAATAAAAATAAATAAAAAAAATAAATGTATTCCTATGATTTTATTATTTTTGGTGCTATTGTAAATGGAATTGTCTTCTTCGTTTTATTTTATTTATTTTTTTAGATAGAGTGGGAGGGAGAGAGAGGAAGAGAGAGAGAGAGAAACATCGATGTGAAAGGGACACATCGAGCGGCTGCTTCCCGCACGACCCAACCAGGGCCGGGGACAAACTGCAACCGAGGTACATGCCCTTAGCAGGAACCGAACCCGGGTCTCTCTGGACCGCAGGCTGATGTTCTAACTGCTGAGCCTAACCTGCCGGGGCTGGAATTGTCTTCTTAATTTCATTTTTGGATTATTAATTTCAAGTATTTAGAAATACAATTGAAATACAATCGAATTTTGTACATTGATCTTATATCCTGCAACCTTGCTGAAATTCTTTTTTCTTTCTTTCTTTTTTTTTTAACATTTTTTCCCTTTATTGATTTTGGAGAGAGAGGAAGGGAGAGGGAGAGAGAGATAGAAACATTGATGAGAGAGAACATCGCCTGGACACCTCCTGCATGCCCCACACTGGGATCAGACTCACAACCTGGGCATGCGCCCTGACCAGGAATTGAACTGGTCACCTCTTGGTACATGGGTCGACGCTCAACAATTGAGCCACACCTGCCAAGCTTTCCTGTACTCTTGCTACTGCCACATTCACCACACTTGTGACACCAGATGTGTGGGGTTTTTCCCATACCAAACAATTCTGTGACACCAGCTGGTTGTCCTATAATTTAACTCAATTCTAACTCTATCTACCTGGAGACAGCATGGGATGTCACAAGTTAAGGGGACAGCCCCACGAGACTGCCCTCTACTTCAGATGCCAATTGCAAGTATTAGGTCCCTAAGTTACTTACAACTTCTGTCCAACAGGGCTACAAATCAGAGGTTCCTATGACCTCCTCCTGCTTGAATTCAATTATTTACTAGAACAGCTCATAGAACTCAGGGAAACACTTCCTTATATTTACCAGTTTATTAAAGGATATAGATGATTAGTCAGATGAAGGGATACATAGGGCCATGTGTTGGAGGGTCCCGAGTGCATGAGCTTCTGTCCTTTTGGAGTTGGGGGTGCATCACCCATCTGGTTCATGGATGTGTTCATCAACCTGGAATCTCTCCAAACCCCATACTACTGGGATTTTATGAAGGCTTCCTTCCATAGGCATGATCAATTAACTCAATTTCCAGCCTTTCTTCCCTCTCTGGAAAATGGGGGTTGGTGCTGAAAATTCTATGCTTCTAATCATGGCGTGGCCTTTTGGTGACCAGACTCCATCTAGGATCCACCCAAGAGACCACCCCGAGTCATCTTATTAGAACAAAAGATGCTCCTAGTGCTCTTATCATTGTGACTTTACAAGTGTTTCAGGAGCCCTGCGTCAAAAACAGGGACAGAGACCTATGTATTTATTTATTATTATTTCACAGGGTACAAGGTGGGTATGAACCCTGGAAAATATTTAGGAAAGGTAATAATGCTAAGTGCTCATATTTTATTAAGCTATATTCTGGCTACTATTTAGTACTTTACGTGTAAAAACCTTCCTAACAACCTTATGATATAGATACTATTATTATTGCATTTTACAGATGGGGAAATGGAGGCATGGAAGTATTAGGTTAACTAGACAACGACTATACAGTCAGTTTGTCTGTCTCTCATGATACGGTCTCATCATGAATGGCCTTTTTATTCTGAAGGTTCTGGGTCTCCTTAAGTAGAAGGTTGGAGACATGGGTGGAAAGATTGTCTTCTATCTCTTCATCTTTGGCTTGGCTATCTCAAAGGAGTATCTGAGATAAGCTAGGTGGTCCAAGTTCCAGAGCCTGAGTGGAAGCCAGAGGACTGTTCCAAACACTGATTCACATATAACCTGGGGTTGGGAGGATGGACATGCTGATCACTGGTTGACTAAGCTCAGATATTTCCAGTTGGACAGAGACCCTCCCAGAGGTAATATCCTACTTTCCTATACAAGAGGAAAGGGAACTGAGTTCTGAAAGGGAGAATGAGTATCAATAGCAATCAGTACTTGATGCCAATTGTTTTGATTATTTATTTCCTATGAACCTTTTCTGAAAATGCTACCGAAAAATAGAAGGCATTTTACAATAAAACTCCCATTCATTAGGCACTGCCAGGCTCTTTTTAAGTGTTTTGTGCGTATGTTAATTCATTTAATCCTCACAGCAACCCGAGAGAAGTACAATTAATATTATTTTACAAATGGGGACATTAAAGTCCAAATATATAACTTGCTTACAGTTTTACAGCAAATAAGTGGGGGAGCTAGAATGACAAAAAAAAAAAAAAAAAAAAAAAAGCTGCCAGTGAGTACAAAACAGCCGGTTAAAAAATTAGTACTGGGCTACTGTGTAGCAGGAAGGACGCCAATTTGGATCAGCACTTGGATTCAGGCCCCACTACTTAGTGCTGTGTAAAGATTTGGGGCTGGTCCCTCTCGGCAATTTCCTCGACCGCAAAAGAGAGCTCCTAATGCCTACCTTACAGGGCTTTTGCAAGGAGCTAGGAAAGTGATGACTGTAAACGCGCAATGTGAGGATCACCTCCTCTGAGCATTGGATTCGGAAATTTGGAGTCCGGACCATCAATCCCAGCAGGTAAATACCCTTGGTGCCCTTCCCGGAAGCCCACGCAGGGCTCTCTGGGACTCGTAGTTTCCTGCGGGCTCCAATCCGTCTTTCTCTCTTAATTGGGGCGGCTGGGGGTAAGCCCCGGAAGTACTTGCCGCCAGAGCGGCGCGCTGGTTAGGAAGGGTGGGTCAGAGGTCACGGGGCACGGGGCGTTCCCGCCGCTGGCATAGCGGCTATGTAGCGGTGCGGCCAACATCCTGCTGCATGTTCTGGAAGGTTCTTGGGCTCCCCTGGCGTAGTGTCCCCAGGACTTCTAGTCGCCGGCTTCGGGTCCCCGCCGGCTGAGCGGAGCCGCCGCCGCCATGTTTGGCTGCTTGGTGGCGGGGAGGCTGGTGAGGATGGGGCCGGCGGGGTCAGCAGGGGAGGGGGCAGGACGCGGAGGGCGAGGCTCCGGAAGCGGGAGGCGCTTGGGCTCGAGGATGCGGGAAGACCCCTCCTGCCTCCTTTCCGGCTGGGAGCGTGGAGTGGTGGGGGACCCTGGCGTGCGTTCGGCTGTGCCCCGCTCTGCTCAGTCAGCGGTCACACGTCAGCTGCCGTTTATCGAGAGTGCAGTCCCCCCGGGGACACACGCCTTTGGTCCTCTTCTCGTCATTTTAGCCTTCGGTCCAGCGCGTGTCTCCAGTTCAGCCGTAACCCTCACAACTTGCGAGATGGTTATTGCCGCTCGATCCTTTGCAGTTGAGGAACTGACGCTTGCTCGGCAGCGTACGCGCTCGCCCGAGCCCAGGGAGTGAGATGTGAGTGCGGCATCGGAACCTAGTCTGTAGCTCCAAGGTTAAGGTGGGGCCATTTGGAAGGGCCCTCAGGAAAATATGCTTAAGGTAATGATAGAAACTGGTAGAAACGCCTGAAACTTCACTGTGAGCCAAATCTGAGATGACTCTGGAAGAAGCTGTGAGCAGCGAGTTTCCTTATTCGTCAGAAGAGATGATAATCTCACTTGGCAGAATATTAGACTTAAATGAGTCCAGCGCCTGAACTTGTTCAACAATAATCTGGAAGGTGTATTTTACTTGCCTCCTTAGAAACCGCCTAGAGACTATGTCACACCTTACTCCTTCCACCTGGAGTTCCTTTGCTTACTTTTTTCTCCCTACTTTGTTCAATGTTGCCGCTCCTTTGTTGAATGTTTTTCATAGTGTATTATGTTCAGTACACTAAGGAATCACGAAGATAAATTGGAGATGACTGGCCTCAAAAAGTTTGTCTGTCTCTTGACTGATCTGGAGGCCTCTTTTGGGGAGGTGATAATTGGTAATACTGGTGAGATAACGTTGCCCCGTCTCGTTCTTGATAGGAAAAATGAAAGGACCGGCCTGGGATGAGTGTTGGACTCGGATAAATAAGTGTCGTTAATTAGTGACTTTGAGAAAAATGTATGTTTTTTTCTTTTTCTTTTTGGTACGTGCCCGTAGCGGGAACTGAACCAGGGAGTCTCTGGTCTGCAGGCCGATGCTCCAACAACTGAGCCAACCCGGCCAGGGCAAATGTATGTTTTCTTAAAGAATAAGGCTGATTCGGAAGACTGTCACAGGGGTGTTCGGAATCAGATGCTGGCTGGCTAATAAACGGCTCTTATTTGGACTTCAAAAAAAAAAAAAGAATAAAAAGGCCATATGAAATCCATGTATCTCTCGTGTTGTCAACTAATTTGGAAGAAAATTTAGTTATAGCAATACCTGTTTATTTATCTGACACCACTGTAATGAATATCCAGTAGAGGTTCTCCCTCCAAACAAGAATGGGGGAGGCAGTGGACTCCAATTCTGGAGTATTAACATGTTAATCCAAATGAAGGTCAAATACACCTAGCAACACCTCAAAACTTGACTACATTATTTTCTTTCTCTCTTTTTTTTTTTTGTTAATCCTCTCCTGAGGATATTTTCCTATTGATTTTCAGATAGAGTGGAATGGAAGGGAGGGAGAGCCAGAGAGAGAAACATCTATGTCAGAGCAGAACATTGATTCAGCTGCCTCCTGCACACCCCTTATATCCCGAAACCTGAACATGTGCCCTGACTGGGAATTGAACCAGTGACCTTTTGGTGCATGGGAGGATGCCCAGCCAATTGAGCCACACTGGCCAGGGGCTATTGGTTGATTCTTTATGTGCCCTGATCAGGGATTGAACCCAAAACCTTGGCATATCCAGCTGATGCTCTAACCAACTGAGCTACCTGCTCAGGGCTAATTGCCTGAGGTTCAAACAAGAACAAGGTTGGGTGGTGTGTTTTGAACAACTTTTCATTTTTGTAACATTCTGAAGCTATAGCTATAGTGATTTATATTTGTAAGTAAAATCCTTTCAGGGGACTTCTGGAATAATTTAGCTATATATATTTTTATTTTATTTTTTGGTACGTGCCCCTAGCGGGACCCAAACCCAGGACTCTGGACCGCAGGTCGACACTCCAGCCGCTGAGCCAAAGCGGCCAGGGCTTTTTAAAAAAAATTAATTAATTTTTAAAAAGATTAATCAAATCATTTTCATGCTAAGTATTTTTGGATTCTCTATGTTTTTTTAAATAATATTTTTAAGTTTTTGATTACAGATGACATAGAGTATTATATTTCAGGGGTACAACATAGTGACACAGTATTACAGTTATTACAGTATTATTTACTATATTCCCTTTTCAGCACTTTACATCTCATTTACTATATTCCCTTTGCAGTACTTTACATCCCATGTTTTTTTTGTTGTTGTTGTTACGTTATCCTCACCCAAAGGACATTTTTTGTATTTATCTTGAGGGAGAGAGGGAGGAAGAGAGAGAGAGAGAGAAACATCGACGTGAGAGAGACAAATCGAGTGGTTGCCACCCACATGACCCCAACCAAGGCCACTGATGAACTGCAACCGAGGTACGTGCCCTTTGCGGGAATTGAACCTGGGCCTCTCTGGTCTGCAGGTCAACACTAACTGCTGAGCCAAACCAGCCAAGGCACATCTTGTGTTTTAATAGGATTCACTATTAATTTTAACATTCTATATGATATATTTGGTAATTCCATAATTAGAGTCTCAGATTAACCTAGTGTTATACTTGGTATAATGACTATAATTGACTATACTTGGTAATAGCTTACAGCAATACTGTAAGGCAGTGATTTTCAACCAGTATACTGTAAGAATTTTTAAAACATGAAATACCTGATTATTTAGTCAGGGGCACTGACCTCTTTTTCCTTAAACTGTCAAATAAAAAAATAGCCAACACAACAATAGCCATCCTGTGCGAACGAATTAAAATTATACCTATTTTTTTTGTCAGATTGGCAAAAAATATTTTTTGCTGTGCTGCAGAATTTTAGTAATTAGTTTATGTGTGCCATGAGATAAAAAAGTTGAAAATCGCTGCTATGTGGATTATAAAAACTCATCAAACTATTGCACTAAGACAAGTTTCCTATTTTCTAGGTGCAAACAGCTGCACAGCAAGTGGCAGAAGATAAATTTGTTTTTGACTTGCCTGATTATGAAAATATCAACCATGTTGTGGTTTTTATGCTGGGAACAATCCCATTTCCTGAGGGGATGGGAGGATCTGTCTACTTTTCCTATCCTGATTCAAGTGGAATGCCAGTATGGCAACTCCTGGGATTTGTCACGAATGGGAAACCGAGTGCCATCTTCAAAATTTCAGGTCTTAAATCTGGTAAGAATAATATATTGAAATAGTTTCATAATTAAACTTTTTTCTTAAATAGCATAACAGAATATGGCTTTTAAAAAACATTATATTTTTCTGGTTGCTAACATAATATATAACATTTTAAAAAATTAGGTAATCCTGAAACATTTGAAAAATAGTAAGTGAAAGATCTTACCTCCTCATACTTCCGTTCTCTGCCCCTGGAGAAATCACTGTTGTTCTCTTTGTATGGTATATACTACTGTAACGGGGTTTTCCTGAATTAGTGGATGTTTTAATACATAATGAGAGGAATCTTGTCATAATTTGTAATATGTACATCTATGTTTTAAATAAACATAAATCAAGTAGACTCGTATAGGATATAAAATGAGAGTCATTTTTTTCTATGAAGATGTCTCAACTCTTCGACTTGATTATGCCTGCCTTCAGTGTCTGTTGGTTGTATTGGCGTTGCCAGTTTTAGACCTTACAGGGACATAATCCTTGCTTTGATTCTCTTGAGTTATTTTGTGAAGAAATGTGAGAATAAAACTAGGTACTATTTACTTCCATTGAAACTCTGGTTCTCTTGAACATCTAGATGAAAATAGATGTGGAAAATTATTGGAATATAAATATAAATTCTCCTAGAGATTATCTATAGAGTCTAAGGAAAAAAATAGACTCTCATCCCTCCCCTCCCCTCCCCCATCCATTCTCTCCTCTTTTCTCCCTCCCCTGCCTTCCCCCTCTTCCTCTCCACCCTCCCTGCCGCCCTCCCTCCCGCTCCCCAAATAAATAAAATAAATTTAAAAAAAAAAAAGAAAAAAAAAATATTCAGGCAACATATTTATTGATTTAACAAACATCTGGGTATCTACTGTGGGGATTTAAAGATAATAATTACATTCTTGCTTGAGATAACTCACATTCTTATAAAGGAAGATAGGTCTGTAGATCAATAATTAGAAGGGTGTAAAATAATAGTGAATGTTTGTACAAAGTGCTAAGAAAGAGTAGGAAAGAGAGCAATGAACTCTTATGTAGGTTAGGAACGGTTTCCTGGAAGAGGTGATATTGGACACCTTGGGAAGATAAGGAGGAGTCTGTCAGGCCTATGAGAGGCCTTTTGGGCCTTCCTTTCTAGGTGGAAGAAAAACAGATATACTGATGAAAGTTTGAAAGCATGATGTGCTCAGAATGGCACAGGCAGGGTATATAAAGGTAGGAATAGGCAGGCATGGATAGTGAAAAGCTTTATGTATCACACTAATTTGACTTCAATAGGTCAGCAGTTTTTAATTTTTTAAAATATGTTTTTATTGATTTTTTAGAGAGAGAGGAAGGGAGAGAGAGATCAGTCGGATGCCTCCTGTATGCCCCCTACTGGGGATGGAGCCCACAACCCTGGATTCTACCCTGATTGGGATTTTGGGATTTGAACCGGAACCTCTCAGTCCATGTGGGACAATGCTCAATCCACTGAGCCACACCGGCAGGCAGGTCAGCATGTATTACCATGCTTAGATCACAGACTTATATCTTTATTTTTTTAATCCTCACCTAAGGATATTTTTCCTTGAGTTCAGGTAAAGTGGGAGGGGGAGAGAGGAAGAGAGAGAGAAAGGAAGAGAGAGAGAAAGAGAGAAACATCGACATGAGAGGGACACATCGAGTGGTTGCCTCCTACACAACCCCAATCAGGGCTGGGGATGAATGGCAACCGAGGTAATGTGCCCTTGACTGTAATCGAACCCGAGACTCATTGGTGTGTGGGCCAGCACTCTAACCGCTGAGCCAAACTGGTCAGGGCCACAGACTTATTTGATAGTATTATGAAAAAGTGTGTGTATTGTAATAGAAACACTAATAATTTTGCTAGTACTCTGAAGCCCATCCATGTATCTCTACCCATAAGGAACTGCTCCTGTAGGTATGGAGGAGCCAGTGAACAGTTTTGGGTAGGGGAATGATATGATCAAATTCTTTTTTTAGTCTGAGGACTGTGTGGAGAATAAACTGGCTAGATGATGGACTGTTAGCTGCTATTATTTTATATAGTGAAATTATATAGGAAGAAATGGGAGAGAGCAATATTTAGAGCTAAAATTGTTTAGAATTGATGACAAATACTAATCTCTAGATTTTAGATGCAGGACATCTAAAATGAGTGTTCCATGAGGTAATTTTCCCTAATCCCTAAGGCAGTTGTTCTTAAAGCCTGATTCCCTAATCGGCAGCATCAGCATTAGCAGTGCCTGGGAATTTATTGAAAATGTATGTTCTTAGTAGGATCCCAGATGTACTGAATCAGAAACTGTGGGTGGAGTCCAGTTGTCTGTTTGTAAATGAGTTTCCTAGGTGTTTGTGTTGCATGCTAAAGTTTGAGAACCACTGCTCTAGGGTATATAATAAACCACTGCTCTAGGGTATATAATAAATTAATGCCTCTTTTTCATATCTCATGGTATTCTAAATGATCTTTGTGAAAATTAAGAAAATAGTTCATCTCAAATCACTTTTTTGTTCTCTGTGGCTGTGCCTAAAAATCCTAAATAGACAGTCTATAAGTAGAAAAAATATAAATAGTAATGTAATACATTCTAGTGAAATTATTGAACATTAAAAACGAAGAGAAAGTAATAAAGGAACCAGAGAGAGAAGACAAGTTATAACTGAACAGCAATTAGTCAATTTAGCAGATCTATCAAGAGCATGAATAGAGGTAAAAAACCAATAGGTTACTATCCTCATAGTGCCAAGGAAAAATAAAATAACTCCAAAAACTGTCATTTTAAAATGAAGGAGAAATAAATGTTTTTCACATGGAGATAATAGATCACTACTGAAAGAATTACTGAAGGTATTTGTACTTAAAGGAGGAAATTGAACCCAGAATGTAGAAGAGGGTGCAAAACACAAAGTTAGCAAATAAATTGGTAAACATGTAGACAAATTTGGACAACCAGATTTTATTTTATTTTATTGTTCTCATTAATAAAAAATTTTTTTTTTATTCTCTATTGATTTTAGAGAGGAAGGGAGAGGGAGAGAGAAACAGAAACTTCAATGAGAGAGAACATAAGTTGGCCGCCTCCTGCATGCCCCACACTGGGGATTTTAGCCTATAGCCTAGGCATGTGCCCTGACCAGGAATCGAACTGACTATTGCTTGGTGCGTGGATCAGTGCCTAACCACTGAGCCACACCAGCCGGGTGGACAACCTGATTTTATAAAACAACACAATAAATAAATAAAGCACAGAATTAAATACTGTACTAGAAAGTAGTGTATGTGACAAGGAGGGGTAGTGATCTGAGTTAAACCTTTCTTTAGAGGTCCTATTGTTTAGAAAGAATAATAATACTGTAGTTCTGTTAAAATGTTAAGGAAAACTAGCCCTGGCCGGTTTGGCTCAGCGGTTAGAGCGTTGGCCTGCGGTCCGGAGAGACCCGGGTTCGGTTCCCGCTAAGGGCACGTACCTTGGTTGCAGTTTGTCCCCGGCCCTGGTTGGGTTGTGTGGGTGGCAGCCACTCGATGTGTCCCTTTCACGTCGATGTTTCTCTCTCTCTCTCTCCCTCCCACTCTATCTGAACAAAATATCAAAAAATGTCCTCGGGTGAGGATAAAAAAAGAAAAGAAAAAAAAATGTTAAGGAAAACTAAAAAAAAGAAGAAAAAAATGGGGAGGGAGGAAGAAGCATAATACATTAAAAACAAAATAAGGTGATAGAAATAATTTCAACTATATCAGTTATCAAAATAAATGTAGCCCTGGCAGGTTAGGCTCAGCAGTGAGAGCAGGTTTGATTCCCAGTCAAGGGCATGTACCTGGTTGCAGGTTCAATTGTGCAGGAGGCAACCAATCAATGTGTCTCTCTCACATTGATGTTTCTCTCACATTGATGTTTCTCTCACTCCCACTCTCTCTCTCTCTCCCTTTCTCCCTTCCTTCTTCTCTTCCACTCTGTCTAAAAAATCAATGGAAAAATATCCTCAGGTGAAGATTAACAAGAAATAAATAAATGTAAACAGACTAAATTTACCAGAGAAAACATGGAGACCGTAGGATGAGTTTTTTTGTTTTTTTTTTTATCCTCACCCGAGGATATTTTTCCATTTTTTGTACAGATAGAGTGGGAGGGAGGGAGAGGAAGGGAGAGAGAGAGAGAAACATCGACGTGAAGGGACACATCGAGTGGCTGTCACCCGCATGACCAACCAGGGCCGGGGACAAACTGCAACCGAAGTACGTGCCCTTAGCGGGAACCGAACCCGGGTCTCTCCGGACCGCAGGCCGACGCTCTAACCGCTGAGCCAAACTGGCCAGGGCTTTTTTTTTTTTTTTAAATGATTTATTTTTATTTTTATTATTATTTTTTCTTTTTTTATCTTTTTAATTCTCACCCGAGGATATTTTTCCATTTTTTGTACAGATAGAATGGGAGGGAGAGAGAGGAAGGGAGAGAGAGAGAGAAACATCGATGTGAAGGGACACATCGAGTGGCTGCCACCTGCACGACCAACCAGGGCCGGGGACAAACTGCAACTGAGCTACGGCGCCCTTAGCGGGAACCGAACCCAGGTCTCTCTGGACTGTAGGCCGACGCTCTAACTGCTGAGCCAAACTGGCCAGGGCAGGATGGGATTTTTAAAAGCTGTTTTTTTTAAGTGTTTTTATTTGATTTTTAGAGAGGAATGGAGGGGGAGAGACAGAAACATCATTGAGAGAGAAACATTGATTGACTGCCTCCTGCACCCCACCATACTGGGGTTCAAACCCACAACCTGGGCATGTGCCTTTCCTGGCAATCGAACCAGCACCCTCTCAGTGTATGGGCCGACACTCAACCACTGAGTCACACCAGCCGGGCTGGGATTTTTTTAAAAAATCCTCACCTGATGATATTTTTCCATTTATCTTCAGATAGAGCGGGAGGGAGAGAAAGACCTCCACGTGAGAGAGACACATCGATTGGTTGCCTCCCGCACGACCCCTACCAGAGCCAGGACTGAACCGC